AAAGGCGCTTCAGGAAACTGAGGTTGAGTTCTATCTGAGTTCTATCTGAAAGCCCGTGTCCTTGTATCTTGTCTGTACAAGTTTGGTAAAACGCTCTTTTTTCCAAGTTTTTGGTGCTTTCTGCAAATCAAAAGTTGGCAACACTGATTACAGCCAGGGTGTCCAGATTTTTTAAATAAAAAGCGCAATTTCTGAAAAATAAATCGCCATTCTTTTTAAATAAGATTCATGAAATCGATTTAACAAATCTTTTATTTTAAAAATGAGATCTTTTTATAATATAGTTTTTTAAACCAAAAACGAATATAATACCTTCAGAGGGTAATAATTAGACTGCGGGATTTTTATGCAAAATACGGAGCCTAGAAATATGTGTCACATAACAATAAACAAAGTGTATAAATTTCTACACATTTTGTTTACAGTTAAGTGGTACATATTTTTACGCTCCGTTTTCTGCATAAAAATCCGCAGGCTAGTAATAATAAATAACACAAATCACTTATATAATAGTGATGTACAAACAATTTTCTTTAAAAATACGCATACTTTTTTAAAACATTTGTTTGGACACATTTTGCAATAGGACTGCGCAATTATTGAATTTTTTATAACTCATATAAATTGATTAATCGCACAATCCGCTTTTAAGAGCTCGGCGCTAAAAATTAAATAAAAACCTATAATAACGCGAGATCAGCTATTTCCACAATTTCTTCAAAATCACCTATAGTGTCTGAATGATTTACATTTCTGTTGTTGTCATATATTGAGCTATTCAACATTGATAACATACTGTTTGATATTGGAAATGTTTTGCAGCAGAAACTATTAGCCTTCATATAACACTTTATTCGAACTATTGATTGATTCGAACCTCATCCTATCTCGAATCTTAGTTTTTGTTGAATTCATTACGGAAAAAACGCGCTCAACAAAGCATGAGAGTGCGGAAAGGATAATAATATGAATTTACTTACATATATTTCCAAACATTTTATTGCCTGTTGCGGTTTTCACTCCGTAAGCAATTATCCAAAATTCTTCGGAGGCGGACGGAATGGTTCTGAGAAAAGTTATTCCATGGGAAAGTTAAAAGATTTAAATATTCAGTTTCCGTTGCTTTTCTTTCCTTCAAAGTCAAATAGTGAATTGGCAGGTCCCTGAAACTCGCCCTCTTGTGATTCACACACTTTTCTGGTGACAAAATCAAAGCTTTTGTAAAAGTACTTTATTGAATAGGTAATCGTTTCAAAAATTCTTCGATTAGGTCGATTAAATAGTTTTACAGTTTTTTAGTATGCTTCTTAAGTCAAATTTATCACGCAGTTCATTAGCCTCTTCTGTAAAATTATCGTGGAAAACTATGTTTTGTATATTTTTATAATTGGAAAAAATTTATTTGAAGGGACAAAATTCTAAATTTTTCTAAATTTTTACGCGCAAATATCCAAAAAAAATCTCCAAATTGGCGCGAAATCGCCAAATCTGGGCACTCTGATTACAGCTCGACCATTGCCTACAGACTGACTTTAGCTTCGCTTAAGGCAACGAGTTGAACTCTTAAGAGAGAATATGTATTGGAAAGCGAATACACTTATAGCCCGAACACAATGAAAACGACGAGCTACGGACTACAGCTGTCAAATTATTTTAACACGTACTCTTATGTAGATAATTATTTTGGCGACGACCGGGCTACGCGACGGCTGTGGTTGTGGCCAGATTAGATCTATTTCTATTTTTCCGGCGACAGATAAGGTTCTTCCTCTTCTTTTATGTCAAACTCATACAAATTCATGATGTCGCTGCCGCGTTCAAAAAAATCATGTCGCCATCGACAAAGCGTTTAGATAATGAAGATAACAAACTGGAAGCTGTGGCCCGTAGCTCGTCGTTTTCAATGTGTTCAGAACTTTAGGTTTCTTTTTATGCGAATTTTTTTATGCGGTTTTTCAAACCATAATTTCGCAGTAGCGATTTTGCTTTTTTGAGAGTTTTTATTACTTTTTTCAGTGTGTAAAAGACAATGCTTCTGATAAATAATTTGTCTTTGTATTCTTACATAATAATAATAAAAGATTGGCGCTTACATATAAGTGGAGCTTCTCCTCAAATTTGTGGTGTGCGCCTTGATGTTGTGACACAAAGGGGAGCTACAGTTTTACGCCGACTCCGAATGGCGATTGCATTTTTACGAGAAGCTGTTTTTCATGGCAGAAATACACTCGGAGGTTTGCCATTGCCTGCCGAGGGGCGACCGCTGTTAAGAAAAAACCTTTTTTTTAAAATTTTTTTTATGTATTCTTACATAATTCATGTATTTATTGTGGTGTTTTTATTTTTTATTTTTGGTTAAAATATAGATAAAATTTTGTTTATTTCATTAATGTTGGGTTTTACATGGAATAATAAGTGTTGAAGTGAAGAAATAAATAGTTTTTTTGCTCAATAATGCCTCACTAGATTTTTTATGCGGTTTTTTAGAATTTTTTACATGGAGTATCTGAATTTATGCGGTTTTTGAAAATGCTGGAACGCATCCCCTGTTTTTTTTTATGAAAGTAAAGAACTTTTTTATGCAGATTTTTTTTATGCGGCTTTCAGAGGAACGCATGTACCGCATAAAAAGAGACCTAAGTGTATACGACTCGTACAACAAATAAGTGCATACATATGCCACTCCTCCCACCACAAAAGAAAGAGCAATATCCTTATTGCGTTTAGTATTACACTAATTTCAGTTAACAAATTTTGCTTAAGTTATTATGACCTATAATAAAGAAAATGTTTAGTAATAATGGAAGACGGTTTTAATTTCGCAACAAAAGACTTAAGCGATAAACTTAAATTAATATTTTAACATTTTTAGTTCAAGACCTCATTTCGTATCTTTAAAAAAATAATTATGTATAAAAGTTAACGTCACAATTCAAAAGTGGTATTTTAAGTAATTCTATATACAAAATTTGTAGCAATATAATATAATTGAAATTTAAATTTAATAATAATTTATTTACTGAGTTATGTACAGTTTTGCCAGGTCTTCGGCATAAGAAAACGTCCCTCTTGGTCTGAAAAAACGTAATTTCCTACCCAAAAAAGTCTTTTTCAAATGAATGTACAAAAAATTCGTCTTATTAATTTTTTATTGAATGAAATCTTCTTTTTGGTTGTTTGTGTTTCCGACAGGGTAGGAGTATGATGTATTGTGGAACGATTTTCCGTCATCCCTTGTCAAATTTGGTTTGGAGACAAACCGGTTTCGGCGTTGTGCCATCTTCAGTGTCACTTTTCGTTCGAAAAATGTCTACAAGAACGAAAAATGACACTGAAGATGGCACAACGCCGAAACCGGTTTGTCTCCAAACCAAATTTGACAAGGGATGACGGAAAATCGTTCCATAATACATCGTACATAGATATGTACGTAAGGTATATTAAAATGTCATTTCGACAGAGCACATTTAAAATTCATTGTAAACTGGTTTGAGATCGTTAATATAAAAATCATTTTATACATATACTTGTGACCAGCTGATTAAGTCATCAACATTTCGATCGATTTTGGCTGTTTCTCTTTTGTTTATTTCATGTTTATTATTTTTCCATAAAAGCCAAGCTTATTATATAATAAACAAAATATAAATCCACATTTCAAACTTTGTGCAAAAGTTATAAAAAATCTGTAATATTTCAGCTAGATTTTCAACTTTTTATTCAGATTTTTTAGAATTTTTTTGACTATGCAGTTTGATAGCGCATTAAATTTCAGGGCAATAATGTGCAAGTTTGAATGGGCTAAATAATCGCGTTGATTTTTAATAATTTATTTGTATTTCTTGTAGACATTTGGTTAGAGGGTCGGTTGTCGAAAATGCTAAATTACGTTCTGCTAAGAAGGAGCATAGCAATATTTCAGCCTTTTTTGCGTTCGTTACATTTTCAATGAAGTCTTAAAAGAGTCGCCTAGTTTTTTCTGACTTTTTATGCCGCTACAGCTTTTTTGATGCTTTTGCGAGCGTGCGTGTTGCAATAGATCAGCTTTTCCTGATTTAGCTTTTAATGTGCCTATTGCAAACATTACAATAAGCCTCGTAACCTCAAGTTTTACACAACCAGCCTTTGAACACGGGATCCTTAGTCCAAGATCCAAAAAAAAAGTGCGCGTACGCTTGGTTTGCATCATATTTAAGTCATCTGTGTCCAAAGAATAAATATGTTTTGAAGCAGCTGCTTCAAAACACAAAGCTTGTAAAGATTTTTTAAGAAAGTAGTTCAAAATCAGTTCTACTTACAAGACCCTTACCGTCAAAAAGAAAAAATACTGGGAAGTTAAAAAACGTCATTTTTTACACAAAAAACGTCCAAACGTCAACGGTATACAAAAAACGTCCAAATGACGTAAAAAACGGCAACCTGGCAACGCTGGTTGTGTACAATGAACTCATTGATATATTTTATTATTTTTAATTCTCTTGAAATTTCTTTTTTTCGCTTAAATTGATTTTTATATTTCCTTACTTTACTATTGTTAAATTTAATTATAAAATGTTCATGGTCGTTTTCAGCTTTGACTAATTCTACGTTTCTCAATGGGTTTTTGGTTTTGTCGAGACGTTTTCTGGAATTTTCAGCATTCATTTAAGTAGTATCTATAGGATTTTCTGTTCGTGTCTTATTCGCATTGGTTATTCTGTTTACTTGTATAAGTTGAGCATTAAATTTAGGAGATAAGTGATTGAAAAAAATGTTGTATGGAGTATCACCGGTCATAGAATGTATTATGTTATGGTTGTACGTAAAAAGGGTTTGTTCGATTTGCATGTACTTTAATTCTTTATCATCTGAGCTATTAATTATTATTAAAGCTATTATTATTATTAAAGCTATTTTATTAAGTGTATTGTCTAGACCTTCAATATCTGCAATGCCGGTCTTTCCAGTGGTTACTTCTAATTGAATATTGAGCTGATCACACCACTGCTTAATGTTGACATTATTTATGCCTTGATCCTGATCAATTTCAATATTTTTGGAGCTCCCATCGTATTAAAAACTTTTATTAACGCTCTTTTTGTTTCT